CAATTTTGACTTCTAATGATTCACTTCCTGTTAGAGAGCCCCCTGGTGGTTGAAGAAAAATACACAGAAAAGCCGCAGCGGGCTACAACCCTCATGGTTCAAAGTTTGGGAAAAAAGTAGCAGCTTATAGTCCGGTGAAATTGAATAATTTCCACGGCACACCTGACGATCACTCACGGCACACTAGTGTGCCGCGGAACAGTGGTTGAAAAACACTGAGCTAAGGTACCTAAAATACGTACAGATGTTAAACACATGCCACACTTTTAAGATTTCCATCTGAAAGCTTCGTCTTCGTCCGTTTTAGGGCGATGAATTAGAAATGTTAGATTTTGTGGTTATAATGAGACGAACGTGAAGAAGCTGAGGGGCGTGAATACTTCTGTAAAGACAGGTGTTTTCACTCACCTGTCCTGCCGTGTCACACAGCTGCAGCTTCACCGGCTGGCCGTCCACTGACACCACCGCTGAGCAGAAACACAGGAATCATTAAAATGAGGCCAAAAATAGAAAAAAATTATTGAACAAATAAACTTTAAATCCAAACATAAGATAAAAAAATAATATACCATAATTTTGAACATAGAGTTATGTTTACAGAGACAGTAAGATGTTTGGAGTATGTGTTAAATAATTACAGCTAAATGTAAAATAAAAACAGATTAGATTAGAGTAGACTACATTATTCTTCATAAAGTTTTTCCTTGATCCATTACAGAGATGAATGCTTACATTTACTCAGTTACATTTACTGGAGTAACTTTTAAATTACTTTTATGAGTCTTTTTACTGCGCTGTATTTTTTACTTTTACTTGAGTAATTTTATTTCTACATTTACTTGAATAAAATTTCTGGATTTTCTACTCACTGAATGAAAAACAGACATGTTTTAACCAAAAATTCACCAGACTCAGACACACACCTAAAGATTTTATTAAAGTTTCATAAGTTTTATATTTAAAAAAAAAACTGATTTGGATTTTCTTCATTTGCCTGATTTTATTATTTTATTGAGATGAACAATTTTGGTCTTTAAAATACCAACATTTCCACATAAGTTTATATTTTGGCCTGTCTGCTGTTGTAATTTATAAATATTAAATGATTAATCGGTTACTTGAGTAAATACTTTTCCACTCTTATTTGAGTAATTTCTTGGATGGCTACTTTTTACTTTTACTTGAGTAAAAATACCGCTACTGCTACAGTTTTCGGGCTTCCTGCCCAGCTCTGCTCCTCTACCTGAGAAGTTGTCAAACGCCGTCGGGACGTACTCGGTGGGGTAGCCGTTGGTGGTGTAGCTGACCACCAGGCTGGTTTTCCCCACCGCTCCGTCCCCCACCAGCACACACTTCACCCGCCTCTCCGGAGCTGCCGCCCGCCGCGTCCTCCCTGCGGAGCCCCCGTCCCTGCTCCGGACCCTGCGCGGCGGGACGGGCGGCGCGGGGGCCACCGGCGCCGGCTTGTAGCCCTCCTGGCAGGGAGAGGAGGGCGACATGGCGGGGATCAGTCCTCCTCGGTCGGGTCAGTTTTCACTCGGTCCATTCTTTTCCTCCACGGGGTCTAGTGACAATAAGCCGTCCGCTTCCTCTGGGCTTCCATGGTTCAAAACAGAAAAGCAGCCTGGACTTTTCTCTCTGGGGAGTCCGGACCTGAAGTACTGGGGTTACACAGTTCGGTGAGTTATTAACCACAAAATCCCGATTTAAAAGACGAGATTTAACTATCATTCAGTTGCAGTGAGTGTCCGTCCAGGCGTCCGGCACACAGACCCGTCCCAAATCAAACTCCCCCTCCGTGACATCACTGTGTTGTGCTCTGTGTGTGTGTGTGTGTGTGTGTGTGTGTGTGTGTGTGTGTGTGTGTGTGTGCTAACATTTACTCTGGTTGTGAATAAGCAAGTTGCAGAAAGCAGTATATTTAAATGAATCGCATGGTAAATCAAAATTAACTCGATCGGTGGCCTACAATTTTCTTGCTGTATGAAAATATTGTAATTCTTACTCAAAATTTAAGTTAGGTTTGTAATTAGATAGTAAACAGCTGAAGTAGTTTGTTTTGATTCAAATTTCTTTAATTTTTTTCTTATCATTCATTTAGTATGTTTGTTTTGCTAAAGTTGCTTTAATTTTACACAAAGGTTCATGCAGTTATGTTGCGTATGACTGTGATGTTTCTTATTTTTGTTTTTCACCTGTCATAAACAGAAAGCTTGAGAACAGTGGGTTCCTGGAACTGAATAGAGACATTTTGTATAATTACCCAACGTTTTTGTTTGGACTTTGGCCGCTTTGGCTTATAATTATCTGAAGATTTTTCCATTGTTTTTTTGTAAATATACTTCCAACCAAACAGTTTCCTTATTTTTCAGTAGACTATGTGTTTTTGTGTGTGTGTTTTATCTAATATTTGTTTGTTTCATCCAACACTTTATTTTCTCCTGAATTTAAATTTCACTTCAAATGGCCTTCACTTGTGTTTACTTGCTAGATGTTTATACAAAACGTACGCACTGGAAACACTTTAAATTACAAAATCCAGCAACATTAAGATCAAATCTAAGTTAACTATGATGAAATTTTGTTTACAATTCAGTCACAGTTTTTCCGTAGTAAAATTACAATATTTAAGCAAATTTGGGTGATAAAATGAATATTGTTTTTGATGTACGGATTAATTTTGATTGTTGAAATCTTCACTAAATAAAGTGAAGCAACGGCGCCATCTAGTGGACGATGCTAATTCAACCGTTCACCGCGGAACTAAGGGCTGCTAATGTTTCCTGACGGAGAACGTTCGCAGCTGCATCAGCATGTGTTGTGAGAATTTCTGAAGAGGAATCTTTGCCTTCTCGTTGTCAGTGGGTTGTTGTGATATTTAAGTTAGTTTTTAAAAGTGAAAAACATGTCGTCCTCTCCCGAGGTGGTTCTGGGTTTCCTTGAAGAAGCAGAACCGTGGCGGCTTCAGTCTCCGCAGTTCCCCAGCAAGGTCGGAGGGAAGCCGGCGTGGCTCAGCCAGAGGGGCCTGCCCCTCCAGTCCGATCTGGAGTGTGAGAAATGCGGGCTGCCCATGGTCTTCCTGTTGCAGGTCGGTACCTGGTGGAGTAAAACCTTCCAAGACTCGTTAATTATTGTCATTTTTATAGAAAGAAGTTGTTTGTTTTTATTTTTGTTGTTGTCGTTCACTTAATTAATTGGTTGTTTATTTTGTAGATCAGTACCTATGTTTGTCAGTCTGTAATGTTTGTATTGTATACAGTAATTGGTGAATTAATAATAATAAAACAAAGAATTCAGAGATAAAGAAACATTGTGATTAATCTAAACAGAGAGAATATGGTGACCATAAACTCTTATTTTATAGATTTGATACACAGTGACACATTTCAAGTGTTTATTTCTGTTCATTTTGGTGATTAACACATTGGTGGCTAAGAAAGCCGATTACAACATGTTGTTAAGTGGAAGGAAAAAGTGCGTGATTGAGAGATTATTAAGTTTCAGGAAGATTCACAGTGTACAGACTATCCAAGACAAGGGCTGAGACTGTCACATCTGATAGAAATCCACCTCCAAACCAGAAACAATTTAAGGAGCATACTACGTAGACTTTAATAAAATAAAAAACTGTTCTGGCTCACTCGAATAAAGTTTTCTTTAATTTGAAACTACTTTGTATTTCATTTGTAATCAAGTTCCCAGAGTCTGAATTAAAAAAAATGTGCAAAACGTATCCTGAAAACTTTAGAGGACTTCGTGCTTTCCTGAGACGAACATGTAATTTTCTCTTCAATGTTGAATTGCACCATGTGGTCGTTTCTGCAGGTGTACGCACCCATTTCGGGTCAGGACAGAAGTTTTCACAGGACGCTTTTCCTGTTCTGCTGTAAAACTCCGGAGTGTTACTCCCACAACGACAGCCGCTGCTTCAAAGGTGCCTGCTGCTGTTATTACAACGTTTCTATTTTACCACTTCTCACTTTATCCGCTTTCAACGAGTCGGTGCTTCTGTTGCTGAATTTCTCTTCATGTCACTGTTGGTTCATTCAGTGCCATTCGGAGCTTTTTTTCAATGGTTTCTCCTTCACATCAGTTTTCAGAAGTCAGCTCCCCAGGAAGAACGAGTTCTACTCCTACGACCCTCCTCCAGGTTTGTCTGAAAGATTCTTTGAGTTTTTATGGTGCAGTTAGGAAACTACATTGAAAAATTAGGACCTTTTTGCGTGTTTTGGAATGAAAATGAGCCGTTTCGAATGCTGAGTCATTCTACGGGCAATGCGCCGTTACCTAGCAACCCCAGCCGGCGCCAGCCCGTTACCTAGCAACTCAAAGGGAGCTCCAGTAGGTTTTGTCAGCAGGTTTTACCGCTGTAAGCGCTGTTACAATTTACTGCTGGAAAAGAGAAGAGTTTAGTTGTTGACTTATCATTCAAAGGTGATTATATCATTGCGCATTTGTGTGCCGCCACTTTCACAGCGAGTGTGAACGTTGATTTGGGGGGCGTGGCCAACTACAGCAGTTTATTTGGATTTAAAGTGAGTTCTTTCTGAAAGGAGCTCAAAACAGGCAGAACTGAAGAGACTAAACTTATTATCTAAGAGTTATTTTGTTTTAAAAATGGAATGAACATGTGTTTTGAATTTACAGCCAATTCAAACTCAGAAATACTTTATTTAATTTCCCCAAAGGAAAATTAAACATTGTTGTAACTTATATTAATTTAAAATTCTTCAAAACGTTATCGTAGATGGTGATGATGCGGGCAAAAAGATCTCCTGTAGCAGTCTGTATTACAGTGAATTTGAAGAAGCCTCTGACTAAAGACACTGGTTTTCTAAAAGTCTCATGAAACAGATGCTTAGACCTCTTATTCAAATTCAATTAAATTCAAGAAATACTTTATTAATCCCAGAGGGAAATTACATGTTGCTGTAGCCCATTAGTTCAGATTCTTCAGCGTTATTGAAGATGGTGATGGCTTTTGGCAGGAAAGATCTCTTGTAGCGTTTTGTATTACAGCGAATTTTACGGTTCAAGGAACTGTAAAAGATCACCTTTGAATGAGGGTCAAAAGTTAAGGCGCTAACATTTTTTCAGTACCTTAGATAACAAAATAATTCCACCCAAATTAATTTCCATCATCTGAAATATTTGTCTCCATTGTGTCCAGATGATGAACCACAGACAGTCTCTAAAGAGGACGACAGCATTTTATCCGTCTCAGGAGTCAAGCTGTGCTGGGTGTGTGGTTGCCCTGGAAACAAGGCCTGCTCCCGCTGCCACTCGGTGACCTACTGCGGTAAACACCACCAGACCGTCCACTGGAAGCACTCCCACAAGAAGGAGTGCCTCAGCGCAGGTACAGGTCCACCCAGCCGGCCAGAACCGAACCCCCGCCTGGAGGACTGACCCTCTCTGCTGCTGTGTCTCTCTGAGCGTAGCGCTGCCCTCGGCTGCCTCTCCCTTCCTGTTCCCCGAGTCTGAGCTCGTCACCGAGCCTGAAGAGGGAGGGGAGGAACGAGACGACGCACAGAGAGGAGGAGGAGGAGAAGAACAGAGAAGTACTGAAGGTCCTTCCTTAGCTGACAGTAAGTTTACAGCCATGTTTGAAACTATTAACCGGGTTATTAGTGATTAATCAATTATTGAAATGGTCAACAAATTTAGTAATTGCTTAATCACTAGCTGGAGTATACAGGCTCAGAAAAAGGCTGTTTGGTGAAGAACATCATATTCATAGAAGTAATTAAGACAAAACTACAAAAAAATATACATTTTGCATTTTAAATTTAAAAAAATCTTCTTTTTCTATAAATAGACCCCCATTGAAAACCTCCTGGTTATTCCACCAAATATTAATATTTCTGAACTCTTCCTGAGGTAAAACATTAGTATTATTTATAAATGAACATGAACTTGTTTGCATTATTTGAGGTCTGAAAGCTCTGCATCTTTTTATTTTCACCATTTCTCATTTTCTGCAAATAAAAACTAAATTTTTGCTTGTAATTTCAGACAAGTTGTCAGTAGTTCATAGACTAAAAGAACAAAGTTCATTTTACTCAAACATTTACCTATAAAAAGTAAAATCAGAGAAACAGACCATTTTAAGTGGACTCTTAATATTTTCCACAGCTGTATGTTCAACCCAGAACTTCTCACATGGCAGTTTTAACTTAACCTAATTCAAATTATTTGTAAAAATATTAATAATCACACCAGCCCCACAAAAATCTCTTATTGTGTACCTTTTGCTATCCAATCATTAATTGGTGATTCAAAAAAAAAAAAATCACCAGATGAATTACAGATGAAGAGCTTTTCACGTGTTGATGTTATAAGTATTTATTTTATCTGTAAATTCATCCTTTGCTACAAATGGGCGAGCATTCACTAAATGTTCCTGCACTTTAGACAAAAGACCATTTGCTGAAAGAACAATGCAAGTAAAGCAGTAATTAAGCCAAAAGTATATAAATGTTGCATTCATATGTAATAAAAAGAACATTAATCTGTAAATATGATCCACACAGATCTCTCCTGGCATAGTGTTTAGCTTCACCTGGCTCAGATTTTGTCCTATTAATCACCTTTGGTTGTCCAATTAATCGGTAATGCAAAAAAAAAAAAAAAAAGTAAATTAATTAAATGATCGAGAGTACATTAAAGATTATTGCATTTTTGGCAATAAAAGAATTGCATTGTTTATTTGCATCTTTTCAATGTATTTCTAATATTGTATAAATAAGTATTAAGTGGTTCAATGAAAAATCTGCAGCTGATAACTAAAATAATTGTTAGTTGCATCTCTGCCTGAAACAACAACAAAAAGCAGATAAGTTCATATACAGCACTACAGATGTGAGTAACTGCCTGCTGCTGTCCTGTCAGCTCTGGCAGAAGCAGATCTGGAGGAGATGGCGTTGCACGAGACTGAAGACAACAAAGTGTTCCAGCGGTTCAAGAAGAAGATCGCCTCAGAGCCGCACCAGGTGCTAAATCAGCCAGGAGACTCTTTTCCTCCGTTTCCCTCTGTGTACGTCTGACACTAACAGACTCTCTCCTCCAGATGATTCGCTACAGTCGAGGAGGCCGACCCCTCTGGGTCTCTTCTGGTCACGTCCCTGCAGACGAGGACATCCCACCATGCACCTGCGGCGCCAACAGGACCTTTGAGTTTCAGGTGGGTCCTGGTATTGAAACCCCTCATGAGATCTCTACATGCATGTTTCTATGTAGTTTAGGACAGCAGATAACAATTATTTTAGTCATCAGTTAGCCTATTCATTATTTTTTGATGATTAATTGAATTTTTAAAATTGCAACATTCCGCAGATTTTTCATTTGTCTTTTTTATACAATATTAGAAATAAATTAAAGATGCAACTAAACAATTCAATTCCCTTTTAAATAAGAAAACAAACATTTGTGCTATAACAGGAATTCTTTAGTAAACGCTTGATTATCTGTTGCAAAGAATGTATCTGCAGCAAAAAATACTTCTGACATTATATGAAAAGCTCAGCTGTTTGACTTAAACACATTGCTGACCTGATTACTATTTTTTGGATTAACAGATTAATAATTCAATAGCAAATAGTGATTAATAGATTTTTTGACAGCTAAACTATGCAACTTGACAAATTTTGAATAGAACATGTTGACAGACAAATATATATTTATCTAAAAAAAGGAATATATTTTGTGTACAATTTTTGGCTTAATTACTGCTCTGAGTTTTGAGTCTGTACACTCAAGTTAACATTATTAGATTGATAAATTAGTTTACAATAATGAATTAATCACGAATAATCAAGCTAATCCTTTCCGCCTTAGTATATTATAGTTAACTAAAGCCGACAATAACTAAGACTGAAATTGAGAAAACCTTTTTTCGTTAAATGAAATAAATAAAAGCAGCAATCAATGGGGACAAACTGTAACTAACCGGAACTATATAATCTGATTATAAAACTCACTGAATCATATTAAAATTATAGACATAATACCTTTCGTTTTCGTTTCGTCCACGGCACTTTTTTCAGCCGTTACAGCTGCTAAAGATGCGGTAAGGTGATTTTCCGAGCAGTCTTTAAACGCACCACGAACGGACAAGCGTCAGCGATTGGGTAAAGTTTGAAACTCCAGCAGAGTCCAGTCCTCCAGCAAAGCTAGCTGGCTCGTTTCTCTGTGTGTTTGTTTCTCCAGGTGATGCCTCAGCTGCTAAACAGCCTCTGCGTGGACTCGACGGGAGCCAGCATCGACTGGGGAACCGTTACGGTCTACACCTGCTCCGCTAGCTGTAACCATGGAGACCAGTACCGGTCGGAGTTCGTCTGGAAGCAGGACTTCAGCGCAGATCAACTGACTCAGCACAGAAACACGTAGTACAGATCTGTTGATTATAGTTCCAGAAGATAAAGTGCTCAGATTAACTCAGCAGCTTCAAGTCCTTTGAGATGTGTATTTTTTTACTTCAATTTAAAAATAAGCTAGTATTTAATGGAGCCATACAGCAAATTATTCTAAAAATTTAAAACGTTACTTCAAATGGATATGTTGTGATAATTTAGGTATCCAGGTAGAGCTGGCTGATAAATCGATTTTAATCAAAATGAATTTTCTGTTTAACTTTTGGAAAATGTCCATAATTAAATGAATAATTGTTTCATTCACTTAGGTTATTTTAATAAGAATGTGACTTAATAAAAAGGAAGACGCAGCTTTAACTGTACAGATTTATTGTTGCAGAACAAAGACAACTTCAGACGATTTGAAAACGTTTCCTGATCTGTTCTGCAAAACAAGTCGATACATAAATCTGATTCGGACACTTTGATTCAAATTATGAAGCAAACATTGAGCTTGTTGACAGGAAAACGTTTAAATGGCTGCAGAGTTAAACTGTGTTTAAAACAGACAAAGCAGGAAAACAACCCAAAATTTCACTTAAAGGTCTTCAACATTGGGGAAATCCTCAAACTAAACCTCCACATGGGCAAAAATAGACATTTATATACTAACTATGTAACATTTTGCCACCATATTTATGCTAGGCAGCATTTTTCCTTCACATTTAAATCTTGAGTCCCAAGTTGTCCTTATTTGCTCAAATAGGAATTTTCTGCACCCACCTCAAGGTGCCACTCATCACTTCTCTATATTTAGAATATAAAAAAATGTGTTTAGCTCCAGTTTAACCATTAAAACATCTCTATGTAAATACAACAATCCCTCTGTTTGACCTGAAGAGGACCAGAAGCTGCAGAACCAACTAACAACTCTGTTTAAATCACTTTTACTGCAACTACAAACACGTAAACCGACTTCAGTGTTTGGTTGGAACAAACATAAATCAGGATTCAAAGATGGAGACTTAGACGTCAGGCTGGCCGATTTCAACACAAGGTAGCAAATTTTCAGACATGAGAAAAGAAAATGCTAAAAAGGCAGCATAGAAAAGTAGTTAAAACATTTTAAAATGAAACCAGGTACAGTCCCCTTCAGAGTGTTTCTCCATTCATCAATATCTTACATTTTCTTACAATCCTATGTACAAATCAGGGATGTGATGATGCACTGGAAACCTGAAACTACAGGAAACATGGGAATGATTTTAACCAAGATGGCCCGTAAAATCTTCTTTAAAAATTCCTTGGGGATGAAAAACAAAACAAAAAAATAAAAATCAGATGAGATCTCAGTGAGCAGCATCCCATTTAGTCCATGTAAAGAGTTCAACATCAGTGAGTCACTTTGATGCAGCTTCAAAAATAAAAAGAAACCAGGTTTGGGAGAATGGGAAAAAAAAATAACTCCAGGTTCTACGTAGTTTTGCGAAAACCTTTCAGGATGGGGTAAATGTTTTCAAACGCTTCGTAGATCTCTGCTCTCACCTTGGCTCCTTTAAAAACAATAAAAAAACACATTAATAATTAATTTCCCCATGTTTGAGGCACATGACTCATAAAACAAAAATAGATCAGCGTTTCTCGAGCTGAAGATCACTAAACCCATTTAATAAACTCATCTAGTTACAAATTCCTCCACAAAAACACAACTTAATATAAACAACCTGAAATTAAAGTATCAACTCTTTGTCCTCCAAATGTGAAGGGTAAAGAAACCCATGAACACATCTACAGGGGGCGTTTTGAGTTATTTACAGATTCTGATTTTAATTCTAAGCTTTCCAATGATAGAAAACTCATGGAATCAAAAATGTTCTTTACTATAAGTGTTGTGTGCATTAATAACATTTCAGGGCTTTTTGTAATGGAGAGTCATAATAAAAGAAGTTTCATTCGCAAAAACAAACATTTTCTTTCAGTCAGTAGATGGTCCAACATGAATAACGTTATTTTAGGTGTTAAGATGCGGTTAGTCAGCATGGGGCGCAGCACTGCTCCGTCCTGCAGCTGAGAAACTTTCCACTAGTATCTTCAGTTTTTATTTTCAGTGACCCAGTCTTAAGCCACTTATCCATTATTATCGCTAAGAAATGGTTGTTTACCTCTTGAGCCAGTAAATTTAAGGAAATGTGGAAAATCATTCCATATTGGAACGTAACCAAGCTGAAATGACTGAGAGAAAAGCTACACAATAAAAGAACGGCACATAATAGGATTAATATTAATTCAAATAACTACACCAATAAGAGAGCAACACTTTGTCTACACATTAGAGTCAAATGATTTAAACTTTATTTTATTCATCTATATTTATACATGTATAAATATACTTTAAGCATTTATACTTTTTCCCCGTTGTTTCATTTTTTTTTAGCTGAATTTTATTTTATACCCTGAGTGTTCATTGTGGCTGGAAGGTGTCAATATTTGTCTGAATTTACATTTTTATATATTCAAAACTCAAACACATTAAGAAAAGTAGGACTAGAGACAATGATGGAAGTAAAGATGTTTCTTCATCCTTACCTGTGAGAACGACCTTCCCAGAAACAAAGATCAGCAGGACGATTCGGGGTTTGATCATCCTGTAAATCAATCCTGGAAACAACTCCGGCTCGTAGCTGCAAAGCAGAAGGCGTTTCGTTTTAGTTCATCTAAAACGGGCGGAAACTATAAATGGATATTGACTCAAACGAACTCCAGTCAACCTGCTGAACTGCTGGTGTGTGAGCACCAATCCCTCCAGCCGGATGGGGAACTTCACGTCGCAGCTGCCCACCATGTTCTGAATCTTAAAGTCCAGGAACTTGGCAGGAAAACCCAGTTTCTGCACAACGCGAGCATACTTCCTGGCTGCTAGCCGCGACTCCTCCTCACTGGAGAGACGGACACAGAAAGCAACACATTTAAATAGAAACGTGAGCACACCGTTTCGCTGAAACGACGTCACAGCTACAGTGTTGAAAAATAAATCGTATTTGTTGGAGTCTGACCTTTTGGCTCCAGTGCAGACCATCTTCCCAGAGCTGAAGATAAGCGCTGTGGTCCTGGGCTCCCTTATTCTCATGATGACGGCAGCAAAACGCTGGAAAATTAATTTAACGTGTTTACAAGAATAACAGTGGTTGGGTTTTATTTAAGGGTTTAAAATCGATTCGGTCATTCTTGTGGAAAGAGTTGAACAGATTCAGTGAAGATGTTCAACATGCTGATGATACTGAATGTGTAAACTTTGGGTTTGTTTACTTTGGGGTTGTACTCTGCATTCCTGGCTCTCAGGGCGATCGTCTTCAGGTCCAGTTTACAGCCCAGATTCACAGTAGATACAATGTTTCTAATCACAAACAGGAAAAAAGGCTGAAATAAATGAACTCAGAAAATTAAAACAGAAACAAAAATGAACTGAGCTTCGAGAGACAAACAGTTCACACCAACAGAGACGAATAAAACCATGGTAGCATTTAGCAGGAAGAACAGAAATCATGTAAACCAGGTGAATACGAGCCGTACTGCAGCGTCGGCACGATGCCTGAGCTCTCCGAGCCAGGAGTAGCAGGGGTCAGCGGGGTCATGGGGCCGATGGAAGTACTGTAGAGGCTGGTGCCTCCTGGCAGCGCCGTGGTGGTCGAACCCGCCGCCGTCTGGGAATGATACAGCTGAGGCGTCTGCCCCGACGCTCCTGGAAGGCCTGAAGTTTCAAGCATTTAAGGCTTTAATAATAAAAAAACTGCAGGGTTTATAAAGTTTTCAAGCATTTTCAAGGTAAGTTTTCAAACTTTGCCAGCACCACACTGGAGATAAAAGCTAGAAAAAAAAAGACAGTTTCAATAATAATGTTTTGTGATAATCTACAGGAGGGACAAGATACACAAAATGCAACAATTTATGTTCTTAAATGTCTCCCTTATAAGAACAAAATACTAATTTCACAAAAAAATCCCCCAATTTAAATAATATAATTTCATGTATAAGATACAAGCCAACCTCTATTTCAATCACACAGATCAATAAGTTATTGATCCATCAGTAAATATTCATAACAATGAAACAATCTGAATGAATCATGTTAAGGTTTATGGCCATAAAGACCAAATTAAACACAAAAAACAAAGAAAGTTATCAAAAAAATCTCTAAAAATGTTCTCACTAAGTTTTATAGCATTTGTTAAATAGAAATAATTTTGCTCTAAATGTGAGTTTTTATTGGATGTATAAAAATATCTGCTTTCAACTGCAAATAAATTTAAGCTTTTACTCAGGTGTGACATTGAACTTTAATACAAAACTGTGCAGTTCAAATATTAAGCACTTTCAGGGACTTTATGCAGAAATCAAACATTTTCCAAACTTTGAAAACACCTCATTGATTTCAAAGCATTTTCAAAACTTCATGCGAGTCCTGAAACTGATCGATTTTATCTGGGTAATCACAGTTACCTGCAGTTGGCTGCTGTGCTTGTTGCTGCTGCTGCTGCTGCTGCTGCTTCTGATGCTCCTCCAGGATGGACAAGCTGTTGGTGTTCTGCACAGGCTGCGGCGTCAGGCCCGAGCCATAAGGCATCATGGGACTGAACATCGGCATGCCGGGGGTCATGGCTCCCTGGACAAGGACACACGTCATCACACAGACGGGACATTAGTGCCCAAATATTACAGAAATCAATTCTGGGGTAAATTATATTGAAATATACATTTATATAATTGAGTATTAAACTGTAGATGTAAAAAGCAACTAGACAAAAATCACACGCTGATACTTTGTATGTTTCAAGTTAACTTTTGTTTTGAGCACAATCTGAAACAGTGAGTTTAGAAAACTGAATTGAAAACCTAAGAATCTGTTTTAAAGCAACCAAAAAAAAATTTTATTCAACCCAAAAACATTTAAAAAAATTTAAATTTATCCATATGTCGTGGAGGCCTGTCATGATATCAAACTTTGCTGGACAAGTTATTACGATAAACAATAATATTGTTGCTTTAAGACAATTTTCAGGTAATGTCAAAATTATACAAGTGTACACATTCCCAAAGATCCATAAACTTTACATTTAAATGGACATTTAAAACTAGAACGCAAAGATATTTGAAAATAATTAAACAAAATAACAGAAACAATTAAATTAAGTCTATGTAAAAATAGAAAAACCCTTCAAAAAAAGGGGGTTGGGGGGCAAATTGAGAATCCTTCCTTTCCTGATCTTATAAACTATTCTAATAGTCAGAGAAACTGAATTTATTTCATTCTTCTGTAATAAACAGTCATCAAAATGCCACATTGTGTTTAACAGATATACGAGTTTCATTTTTTGATATTGACTTAATTCTATTCTAATTTATTGAGTGAATCTGAGCCCTTACCTGAGGGGAGGCCAGCCCCTGGAAAGGCGGTATGCTGTTGTTCTGGTCCATTTCTGTGACACTGCCACCCGGGAGCAGGCAGTAAAGCTGATCTGAAGCTCTTCACGCAGCAGGATTTCAATGCAACAGAAACCACTAAGACACCCAGCGCCTTGTTCCTTACCTCCTTATTCCTCACCTGAAAACACTCTTTACAACAGCAATACGAAACAATTATACAGCAGTGGCGCCAAAGCGAACGTTTCTTATTGGTCATATTTACAGTCTTAAATGTTTTGCAACACTTTTTCTAAACGTTTATCGCTGTAATTTAGATAATTGTATGGCGTGTCGATGCTAACGGCTTCCCAGCAGGGTGAGTTTAAAGCGTTAACCCTGTGAAACACACCAGCTAGCTAATGTTAACTGCAAAGCTAACATCAGCTAACGCTAAGCCGCAATAACTAATCGCTTTAAGTCACAGTGAAAACGCCAGTTTTATTGTTTAATTAAGTTTAAAATAACCATACTATTAAGTCGACTTACACAGTGGTTGTTCTTTGCATATGACCGCAGTCTGTAGCTGAAATTAAGTTAGCTTTAGCTCCGTGTCATCTCCCAGGCAGCTCGTCGGCGCTAACCGGAAGAAGAAGCTTTATCTTCCGGCGAGTCACAGTTGAGCGCAGACACAGCAAAGATGGCGTCGCTGAGTGACAAATCAGTTTGGGATGAAGTGGAAGACGGAATCGGGGAAGAAGTATTAAAAATGTCCACAGAGGAGATAGTCCAGCGGACCCGACTCCTGGACAGCGAGATAAAGATCATGAAGAGCGAAGTGCTGCGGGTGACCCACGAGCTTCAGGCCATGAAGGACAAAATCAAGGAAAACACGGAGAAGATAAAGGTGAACAAAACGCT